GACACACTGAGGACTACGCTTGCGGCTCTTGGGTTTGCTCCTTCTACTGCCGACCCGTCGCTGTTTCTACGCACCGACACCTCTCTGCCGCCGTTCTACATCCTCGTGTACGTCGACGACTTGGTCTTTGCCACAGCTGACACTGCTGGACTCGCCTACGTGAAGTCCGAGCTGCAGAAGAGACACACGTGCACAGACCTGGGTGAACTGCGCAGCTACCTTGGCTTGCAGATCACCTGGGACAGAGCACGCCGCACCATTACCCTGACTCAGTCACACATGGTGCAGCAGGTCCTTCAGCGCTTCGGCTTCACGTACTCCTCGCCTCAGGCCACTCCTCTGTCTACTCGCCACTCGCTCTCAGCTCTGCCTTCGGATGAGTCCGTAGAGTCGAGTGGCCCGTACCCGGAGCTTGTTGGCTGCCTCATGTACCTGATGACCTGCACACGACCTGACCTTGCATACCCTCTTAGCATTCTTGCACGCTATGTTGCTCCTGGGAGACACAGACCAGAGCACATGGCTGCAGCGAAGAAGGTGTTGCGCTACTTGTGCAGTACGTCGGGCATGGGGCTAGTGCTTGGAGGGCGGAGTCCAGTGGTCCTCACTGGGCACGCGGACGCTTCTTGGGCTGACGACCAGGCTACGCAGCGGTCGTCACAGGGTTACACCTTCAGCCTTGGTTCCGGCTCTGTTTCGTGGCGGGCTACTCGCTCGTCTTCTGTTCTTGGCTCGAGTTGTGAGGCTGAGATCTACGCCGGGGCCATGGCTGCACAGGAGCTTCGCTGGCTCACCTACCTGCTGACCGACCTTGGAGAGCCGCCTCGTTCTCCTCCAGTCCTGTACGTAGACAACAAGGCCATGCTGGCCTTGTGTCGAGAGCAGCGACTGGAGCACAGAACAAAGCACATTGCTCTCCGCTACTTCCTTGCTCGTGAGCTACAGCAACGTGGACAGTTGCGGCTTGCGTACGTGGCCTCTGAGGCCAACACTGCTGATGTCTTCACCAAGGCACTTCCGCCTTGTGATCATCAGCGCTTCTGCACTCAGCTGGGTCTTGTGCCCGTCTTGCCTCACTTGCTCTCCTCTTGACCTTGCTTGTACTCTCACATATATATATACCTGCTCTTGCTTGTCTAGCTTTATATATATGTGTGTACTCTTGCATGTGAACTGGCCGTGTGGCCTTGACCCTGTGCTCGGACTGTGTGGTGACTTTGTGATCCACCCTGAGCTTGCTTTGCTTTACTTTGCTTGACTGGTCTTGTGACCCCTTGTTCTCCCCCACTTTGCCTATGGGGGTGTGTCAGAACATTATAGCTTATGCTGTTGTGTAGGCTATAGTGTGGTATCCCATAGGGGGTACAACCAATTAGGGTTTCATATTTGTACTCACTTCATTTCATAGTTCACCCATTCTCGTTTCTTCTCACACCCTTCTTTGCTTGCGCGGTGAGATGAATTCAATCTTGAAATCAAAACCGTATTCATTCTCCAAACCCCAGCCAGTGCACTGAACCTGTTTCGTGGCGCCGCGGCTTTCGTTGTGACGACCCACCTTTTGCTTCACGTGGTCCTTTCCACCACCCAGGGGTTCAAGAAAACACGTGTTGACGTTCATTCTTGAGCGTTCTTCTTAGCTTGTTCTTTCTCCCACCATGGCCTCGATGCCACCCACCGAGGACTGTCCCGACCTAGTCCCGGAAAAGCCTCCCGATCGTCGGCTTTCCGGCCTGGATTTCCTCCATCCTGGCATAGCCCCAATCACTCTTGAACCGCCAGCTACCACTACTTTCGTTAGTACCGATGACGAGCCCGTGGTTTGCACAGGTGAGCCTAAACCAGCAGCTATCATGCTCCCCCTTGCCATCACGCCGTCCAGCAAAGCCCCACCACCTGCCCCCAATGTAGACCCTGCACTAGCGGCATTCACTCTCCCACCCGCCATTGCGCCGCTTAGTAAAGCCCCACCCTCAGCCATTGGTAGCAGCGGCGGTAACGATGCCGCTCTCATGTCTAAGGGTCGTTCCACCAAGAAGCCGCGCACGACTCAGCTCCGAGGAAAGTTCCAGCAGAGCATGTTGACTTTTGGCGGTGTGCGCGTGCCACCACCCGAAGCCAGCAAGGATCTCGCACATGAGGAGGTCCTGGTTTGCGAGGACACAAATTCGCCCCTTCTGTCAAAGGCTGATTATATCAAGCAAAAGTACATCGAGGCAAGTCTCAAGTACGAGAGTTGGTGGCTGCCTAAGTTCCCGTAGCTTGTGTTGCTTTGCGTCAAAGATGGTTTTCCCAGTGTGAAGTGCAACGTGTGTCCCTCGTATGGCAAGGAGACGACGAAGTACTCCAGTCCAAGGTGGACGACACTTGCAGTCGCAGACAATGCGCATCTACGAGCACACATTCGTACACAAGGAGGCGATGCAATGTCAGGCTCAGATTGCAGAGGCTATTTCCCGGGGGCATACGAAAATCGACCGGTTCATCAACTCGGATGTGGAGGGACGGCGGGCGGTGCACTAATGAGGTCAGTGCAATGTATGTGCCAGTAGGACGCGCCCATCGGCATGTTCCCGATGCTGATGTGGCATCTTGCTGAGCAGGATACCCCCAATATCCCGCGTCAATCCTATGGGTCAGGTAGGTATGTGTTTTGTACTAAATGTTCTGCGCACGTTCCTTCAGTTTGGTGTATTAACTAATAAGCTTTCTTTATCCTTGTAGATACAGGTTCCAGCACATGGTGCACTGCCTCAGCACCTACTTCACTCAGACAGAGATGTGGTACATCACATAAATCATATGTTGACACGCATCATTGCCCTTCCTTGGCTTAAGCACACACGAGAGCATGGACAGGACTTGCGGAAAGCATATGATTGTGTCCATCACTTCCTTGCACAACCGCCGCGTTGTTACCAAGTATCTAACCCTCGTGACTGTCGAGAAGTGTGATGCAGCCTCGCTCCTAGCGTTTCTGTTGAATCACCTGCACATTGTCAACATTGACATCAACAAGGTGGTTGGCATCAGCACGGACGGAGCGTTGGGATGATCGGTTGCGACAACGGTCTCGTGACTCGTCTGCGGGAATATGTGCCGCATCTTGTGTCACTCCACCGCATCGCTCATAGGCCAGACCATGCGGGATGATGGCTCCTTATGCGGCATGGTTTGTTGCTAACGATGGTTTTTTCTTGACATTGCAGAGAGGCTCTGGCAGGGCTCTTGTTATCAGACCATTTTGGTGTGATGGTCTGATTTTCAGACTTACTTTTTTTTATTCATCTGATTCTCCAATCAGAATCAGACAAAACCATGTCTAATGCCCGGGGGACCCGTCTGATGAATCAGACGGCCTCAGATCCTAGCAAGACCTCTTGGCTCTGGCGGTGAAAGATGCGGCCACGGCAAAACCGGATCTTGCCATGGTGGACACTGTCGTGCGGACGCTGGCGGAATGCCTGGGCAGCTCAAGCCACTGGAGTCAGAGGTTCAAGTACCTGCAGCGTATCATCTACAACACACACCTCGAGGTTCAGGGTATCCACAGGTCGACCTCGACACCAAGGTCGACTTCGGTGGAACTCGCAATGGGTGGCTGCCGAAGTTTCTAACGCTGTACAGGAAGCAGGCAGGGCAGAAGGTGCACGTGCGTGGCGTGGAAAATGAAGGGCGGCCGTTTAACCACACGTACACCATGCACAAACAGCCAATCAAGGGCCACATCTACAAGAACGACTACAACGAATGTGTGAAGCTGGGCCGCAAGTTCGCAAAGGACTGCGTCGACGGGCTCCTCTTTCGCCTGGACGATCAGCGGGGGATGGGTCCGACGAAGCTGTTTTCGCGCCTCGTTGTGGCCGAGGAGGAGGCCTTCGCCCAAGGCCTAGAAAACTTCCTGGCAAGCAGCGACGCGCAGAGGTGAGTTACACAGCTAAGCGTGTGTGACTATTAACCCGAAGCTCGCACGCTTTCGCGAATCCGTTTTCCACCCCTCGTGTTTGGCAGGCAATGGCCGAACTTGTTGCTACTGTGGCAGGTGCTGGCCGTGCTGTCACTGTCAACCGTGGAATGCGAGAGGGGGTTTTCATGCCAGAACGTCATCAAATCGTGGATCCGTGGGTCGCTCTGCAACGCCCGGCTTGCGGAGCTGATGCAGATTTCCCTGCTGGAGTTCGAGATGGACTGGGCTGGGGTGCCCTGAGATGGACACCCGGAAGAGTCTCAAGAAGAGGCGCCCTGCGCAAAGCGTCATTTTCCCTGCGGATGATCGCAAGCGCAAGGGGAAGGAACCAGTGGAGAAAGAAGCGGGACCTAGCGAGCTGGTGCGCAAAGAGGAGTTTGCGGAGACGGACGATAATGGAGACGACCGGCAAATGGATCAGGATATCGAAGAGTCCCCCCTCCCCCTCCCCTCTTCCCCCCCTCCACCCCCCACGAGATCACTCAGACGAAGAGGACAATCCGTTTTTGTAGTGTAGTGTGTATGTCAATGAGTAGTTGTTGTAGTAGTAGTGCTGTAAGGAGGATTGTTTCCTCTTGCGATTATTTCTTTTATTTTTCTTATTTTTTCCTTATGACTCTGATTCTTGCTCGCCATCCCTGAACGAACAGACCTCCTCTTCCCTGGAGACTGAGCCAAGAGAGCGGTCAAAACAAAATCTGGCCGAAGCACCATCAAGTAAAAAACAAAATCTTTAGGATTCAGGGGGGGGGGTCAAAGTTGAAACATCAGCCCTGATTGCAGTGTGAAAGTCATCCTTCAGATCCTTTAGTTTTTGGAAGCTAACAATCTGTCTGAAACTGAACGTAGACACTATGGCACAAGTTACAACATACCAGCAAGCAAGCACACAACCTCGTATTCCCAATTATAGCACCACACTACACATTACGGTAAATGACAGCAAATCGACACCTCTGCTCAATCAGCCCCCGCAGCTCCGACATTCCTCTGGCGCTGCCAGCTTGCGCCTCCTTGCCCCCTGCCCATCCAACTAGGGTCGTCCTTTCTTCCCTTGCCCACCAGCCCCTTCATGGTGGAAATGGTCAGATCATGGTTGCAATGGGAGGGGGGAAATGGAGGGCAGACCACAGGGTAGGTTATGAGATGAGACAGAAAAATGGTAGAGCCCGCCAGAAAGCCCGCCAGTGCAGAGCCCGCCCCTTGCGGAGCAACAAAGTTGATTGTTTCTTGTTGGCATACATGCAACAAATGACAAGGCACCTACGACGAGAGGCGAGAGACGGGTCGTGGCAGCGCTTCTTGGCCGCATTGAACACGAGGCCCTCGGGGCACTGGCACTGCTGCTGGCCGTCCTTCACAACGCACTGTGAACTTCCACAATCATTCTCACACATGGCTGTTGTGGGCACCACAGAGGGACAAACAATCCAGGTATGTAGAGAAAAGGGTTAGCATTTCAGGCATAAGGACGCAAATAGCAGAATCGCAAAAGAAAGTAGGTTGGGTGTGTGTCTTGCTCTTTCTTACAGTAACTCTCCTGTGTGTTTTGAGTCGACTCAGATTGAGCAAAGAACAGGTTAGCGTGCTCAGATTGAGCATCACGTGCATGCACTCGCACTTACTGATCTCGCATCCAACTGATCCCAACGATTTGATTCCTTTGACAGTCCTGAGAGCGGGAGAGGCAAGGATGGGGAAGACCAAATGAGGGCGAGTTATGACATTTGGCCCATTCACGCAACAACTACGACGGTCAAGCAATTTCTGGTGATACGAGAAAGCGCCATACTATGTGCTGGAAGCACACCGGAGTAAACCATACCAGTCGTGTGCATCACGCGCACTCACGTTTTTGTGACGGGGTACGAACTGCCCTTCTTCGCAGGGCGTGCGATTGTAAAGCCCAGCTTCTCTGTGCAGCCGCCGTCCGCGTAAAACGACAGGCTTTTGCACATGGCGTTGCTAGGCGCGTCGTTGTCATATGTGAAGGGCTTGGAGGCATTCCACACGACGGTGACCTTGGCGTCGCCTCTGATGATGGAGCCAGTGTCCACGCTGCATGCCATGGTGCCACTCACCACCTGCCCTGCCGGCAGCCGTAAAAGGAAGTTGCCAAACCTCACGAACTCGATTGATGGAATCAGTACCACGGTCGTCCGCACCAACGGGGCTGACCGGCCGTTGACACCATTGACACCGTTGGTGCGACGATGGATGGTTGATCGTGGCCGTTAAAGGTTGCGTGCCGATGAAGGACAGGGGAGAGGAGAGGTAGGGGAGGAAGAAAGGGGCAGACAGGGGGGAAGGTGCGGGAGGAGTGAGGAGGGGTGAACGCTCCAAGCGTTGCCTCTCAGCGGCGCCTCTCAGTGTCTGTTGACATGCTGAGATGCTAAAATGCAATTGTTTCAAGAAATGTAGTGTCGTCAGCTCACCAATGATGCACTCACCAATGATGCACTCACCAGTCATACACTCACCAGTCATGCACTCACCAGTCATGCACTCACCAGTCATGCACTCACCAGTCATGCACTCACCAGTCATACACTCACCAGTCATGCACTCACCAGTCATGCACTCACCAGTCATACACTCACCAGTCATGCACTCACCAGTCATGCACTCACCAGTCATGCACTCACCAGTCATGCACTCACCAGTCATGCACTCACCAGTCATACACTCACCAGTCATGCACTCACCAGTCATACACTCACCAGTCATGCACTCACCAGTCATACACTCACCAGTCATGCACTCACCAGTCATGCACTCACCAGTCATGCACTCACCAGTCATGCACTCACCAGTCATGCACTCACCAGTCATGCACTCACCAGCCATGCACTCACCAGTCATGTCATGCACTCACCATAGCACGTCATGTATTTGTGAAGCCGGGCATGTTAACACCGACATTGGCGCAGGACGCCTCTAATCCACACTCCACGCCGGAACACGGGTCTGCAGAAGAAGTGATGGGTGGTTCCGAGGTTATGTGAAAGCGGGTTGAAAGCGGAACCGTATCTGATGTCTGTGAACTTTGAACTCACTCAAACACCAGAACTCACCCACACACGTCCTATGCTCAGAGTCGAATTCAAAACCATCCTTGCACTTGCACGCAGAAGAGAATGAGTTTTCATACATCTTTCCACAGGTAGCTTCGCCACATTCCCCCGAGGCACACAGGTCTGCACAGAAATCGTGATTGGTTCAAGTAAGGGCGAGGCACACACACCAGCACAGAAGCAATGAGGGACAGGGAGTTAACAAAAGATAGATGCTGGTTATGATTGTGCACTCCCCCAGCACTCACCCACACTTGCGCACTTGGCCACGCACCCTTTTGTTCGAGGCACACTGAGAGTGAGAACAGGAGGCGAGAATGAAGAAGGCGAGAAGCATGACGGCGAGAAACAGGGTGAAAATGACGAGGGTGGGCATGCGTGTAGGAAGCGAGGGAGGGGAAGAAAGGTGGGAAGAAGGCTACGAAGGAAGAAAGAAAATGGCTCAACTTGTGCAGCAACAGCTGACTCTGACTCAGGGGCTCTTTTCCTGAATGAGTGAGAGGTCAGCTCACTAACAATATGCAGGCAGTCAGGCGATACCACATTTGACTCACTCATCAACACTCACCTGCTCTCCACCACTCACCGTAGCACGTCTTGTCTGTTTCGTTGTATTTAGAACCATCTCCGCAAACGCATCTAGAAGTGCCACCAACATTCATGCAGGAAGCTGCTGACCCGCAATCCATGGTGTCACAGGGGTCTGCAGAGCGAGCAAGTCCATGCACGTTTTGAACAGAATGCAGGGGGGTTGCAGAAAAAGAGAGTCATTGACCTTGCACTTGCCCCACGAACCTTTTGGTTCAAGCACAGAGTTGAATCGAGCGAAGTCGATTAGGAGCAACAGGGTGAGAAGCATGGTGGGTGGCGTGGTGGGTGGCGTGGTGGGTGGCGTGGTGGGTGGTGTGGTGGGTGGCGTGGTGGGTGGCGTGGTGGGTGGCGTGGTGGGTGGCGTGGTGGGTGGCGTGGTGGGTGGCGTGGTGGTGGGCGTGCTGATGGCGACGAGACCCGCGACGAGTGCGGCGAGGCCAATGCGGCCAGACAGGAGCGCGCAGGGCTTCATGGCGACGGGAGTGGGCACGGGGAAATGGGAAGGCGGAAAGGCGCGGATGGTGATGACGGAGGAAAGGCAAGAAGTCCCAGATCAGAGTTGAGCCGCCGGGACTCACCCACACATGCACACACACGCACACTCAACCACACACACACACTCACCCACACACACACACACACTCACCCACACACACACTCACCCACACACGCACACTCAACCACACACATACACTCACCCACACACACACACACCCACACACGCACACTCAACCACACACATACACTCACCCACACACACACACACCCACACACGCACACTCAACCACACACATACACTCACCCACACACACACACACACTCACCCACACACACACTCAACCACACACACACACTCACCCACACACGCACACACTCACCCACACACGTCTTGCTGGCTTTGATGAAAAGACCACCGTTGCCGCACTGGCACGTGGAAACGCCGTAGAAATCAGTGCTGCACACTCCATGCCACCCAGCATCATCGCCCCTACAATCCTCGTCCTTGGTACACGCGTCTGCACAGAGCTCGTGAATCGTTTCCAAGAGAAAAGCGGCACACGCACCAACAGAGGCAAAATAGGGAAGGGGAGTTAGAAGTAGGGATATATTCTGTTACAGGATAGATTCGGTTTATTATTGTGCACTCACCCTGTAACGCCTGTGGTGGGCTGTGTCAAGGGCATTCTGCTGCGCTAAATAACACCCTCGATTTGACTCAGTGGTTAGTGGTGAGGTGTTATACACCCACTCTCCAGCACTACAAGTGGTGTGTGCCAATCAGTCGCTACTCACAATCATCAGCGCTGGCGTGGGTCGCTACTCACACCCACACACAAGCACTCACCCACACACGTCTGGTGGTCTTCGTCGAATACAAGACCATCCTTGCACACACACTCGGGCCATTCAGACTCTGAATTTAAGATGCAGGTAGCTTCCCCGCAATCCGTCTTGGCACACGGATCTGCACATAATCGCGATTGAGTCAAGTAAGGACAAAAAGGCGCACAACAGCACAGAAGCAATGTAGGGAAAGGGAGTAAAAACAACATAGATTCCACTTATGATGTGCACTCACCCACACTCCAGCAGTCACCCACACTCCAGCACTCACCCACAATCCAGCACTCACCCACACTCCAGCACTCACCCACACTCCAGCACTCACCCACACTCCAGCACTCACCCACACTCCAGCACTCACCCACACACGTCTTGTGGACTTTATCGAATTCAAAGCCACCCTTGCACGCGCAAAGGACCCCAAAGTCTACATCAAAAGTGCAGGTAGCTTCCCCACAATCCTTCTTGGCACACAGATCTGCACAGACGTCATGATTGTTTCAAGGGCGAAGACGCACACACACCAGCACAGAAGCAAGGTAGAGAAAGGGAGTAAAAACAAGATAGATTCTGCTTATGATGTGCACTCACCCACACTCCAGCACTTATCCACACTCCAGCACTCATCCACTCGCCATCACTACAAGCCTACTGCCCGTGGCGTGTGCCAGTCAGCCTACTCACCATCAACAGCGCTGGCGCTGGCGTGGGTCGCGAGGAAGCTGATGGCAACGAGACCCGCGACGAGTGCGGCGAGGCCGCACAGGCGCGCGCGGAGCTTCATGGCGACAGGAATCGGCGCGGGGAAACGGGAAGGCGGGGAGGCGCGGATCGTGATGACAGCGGTGGCGAGAAGCTTCCGATCAGAGCTGAACCGCTGGTAGTTGCGACGAGGTGAGATTGGGTGGGACTGAGAAGGTGGTGACTGAGAAGAGAGGAGACGAAGGCGAGGAGACGAGGAGACGAGGAGCGGAGAATGTGATTGAGCCTTCGGGAGGGCGTCGACTCATGTGTTGCAAACCAGTGGTCAGTCGCACATTCCGATTGATTATTCCTAGTATTGTGTCGCGGATCCTGTCGAACGTTTCGCCGCGGAAGGAGGACAGGAGTGGGGAGGGGGGCAGGGGAGGAAACGCAGGGGATGGGCGATGCCGAGGCTCGGAAACCTCAGGCGATGGTGTCGGGGCAGTCAAGGAGTCGATCTGGGGTGTAGCGAGTATCGTCATGATGGGTACAAGGGGGGACGCGAATGGATGGACTAGGGGGCGGCGATGACGGGAGAAAAGAGTTGGGAAGGCGCCAGCTAGCGGCTAGTGAACGCGTTTCGGCAGCCAAGCGGCGGAAACTTTGTGGCTTGGCGCAAGGGAAAGAAGCTTTCGCCTCTAGTACCAGTAGGGCGCTCCATTACACCAGGGTTGCAAGATTGCGGGACGCGTTCTTCAGAGAATCATTTGTTGGAGGAACGCGTTCTTCAGGGCTAAATGAACTTCTCGTTCATTTAGCGCAGTTGGCTACGATGGTGTGCATAGCGGCTGACTTTATTCACCGCTCTGAACCGTGAAATACCAGCCCGATCAGTCACCAGTCTACGGTGGGAGCCGAACGAAGGCTCTGAAGGGTTGCTTTTGGTTCGGGGTTCGCTTGACGTGGTTGAATACGGTCAATAAGTTGTAATATTTACCACTTGAGACCATTCCGCACCAGAATAAACCACTCATAACGAACCCCCACAATGAATGTTGCCCAACCTCAACGCGTTTCGAGTCCTCGCCAAGGAGAACGAAATTAAGACCCTATCAATACACGCATATACAAATTCTCAAACTGGTTATACTTCAAAGTGGTCCCGCAACCTTAGCCTCACGGAATCTCACATTACAGCGTGTCCAAGGCGCTTTCAAGGGATAAGGTCCCTTGGGTGTTCACAAAAACAAGAAGTGCCCTTGGGAATGGAATTCGCGAAAGAAAGGAGAAAGCATAACATTCATCAGTCATCTCCCGTCTTTTCTTGGTTCGTTGTCAACCATGCCTCCTAAGGCTAGGATCACGAAAGCTACTGCAACCATGGTGACACCTGATGAGCAGAAGGACTCGTCCCAGGAGCAGGAGACTGTTGCGGATTCAGGATCAGGTGCTCATGTCTCTCCTCCGGTCGAGATGGTTCAAGGAGCTCCACCATTGTCGCCGGCTCCTGTCGTGACTGTCGTGGCTCCCGTCGCGCCTGAGGCTTCAAGGTATCCTGAGCATCGCGCTCCTGTCGGAGGGGATGAGGAAGACGAGGAGGATGATGATGGCTACTTGAGTGATGACTCCGATGAAGGCATCGAAGCGCATGCGGCGTACTCGCATCCAAGACCCGCGTCACGCTGGCGCTCCTGATCCCATTCGAGCTGGCAAAGGAGATGCCGGCGGTGAAGCCGTCGGTGCAGGCGCTCCTGGTCTACCTGCGGAAGAAGCTCTCGGAAAACGCTTTGGAGGGACTTGCATTCCTAGAACTTCTCCCGGCGCACCTCTCCCGGACCCATTTCAACCGCCTGCAAGTTACCTTTGCCTCGGCTGCGGACGCGGATGTGGTGCGTCAGCATCGGGTGGAGCATGTTGTTGGAACCACTAAGCACCATTTCAGCTAGCAGCACCCGGTCAACAATTTGTTCTTGAAGGCGAAGTGACCTGCCGGAGGGAGTAGAAATACTGCTTAAAGGAGTCCCGGCGGAGATAAAGCCGCTCATCGTCTATGAGCCGCTGGTGGTTGCGAAGCTGCAGAAACGCGGCAAATCAGCTTTCTTGCAAGACGCGGGCTTTCACTGGGTCGTGGATCCGGTCTCGGGGTTGGACACGGATAAGATCCGCGGCTTGATGATCCCGCACCCTGGTGACAAATATCGCTGGCGTCACGTGGTGGAGGACCCGCTGAGCGACAGACGTACCTCGTGCACTTTCCATCGCTTTCCTACTGCTTCTGCTAGGGACAGCACATGGATAAGTTGCATGATGAGTATATGCATGAGCGTCGGAACAACATCGCCAAATGGAAATTGTCGTTAGGCAGGATTCATACTATCAACGGTGAAAGGGTGGGGGACTTACAGTGGGGTTCCTACTGCTGTGCGGTTTTCTCATTCAAGTTGTCTGAGGGCGGTGTGATGCATGTTCCCTGCAACGGCCTCCCTCCAGTCGGTAGGGGTGGTGAGGAAGATTCTCCGGGACCCGGCACTGGTCCTGATTTCAACGGGGTCCAACACGGAAGAGTGGCTATGTGTTCAGGAGGGCTGCGAGCGCGCGCATGGGGAGACCTTTGCGCGGGCTGCAACGCACATCAGCTTGTTTGGGCATGGTTCGGCGTTGGGTGCGGCAGGATCTGCAACACGCGTGAGCAAGGCGAAGCAGAGTCTTCAGGCTGTGAAGAATTTGTGCGGAGACGGCGAAGGCGAAGTGATACGGAAGCAGAGGGAGAACAGCATTAGGAGGCATAAGACTACAGCGAGCAGTAGCAGAATTGGAGCTGGTGATGTGTCTGTACCTGTCTGGAGTGTATTCGTGGCCTCTCCCTAGTTCCATATGGGTAAACACACCATCCTCACCTTTGTGCTGAACATTAATGGTCTCGGCTCTTTGCAGAAACAGCATGACGTTCAGGAGTGGTTAAAGAAAGCAGCACACATAGTCATCCTAGCGGACACAAGGATTCCGGAAGATCACATTTTTTTTTACCAACTTGCAAGCAGACAAGGTAGTAGCAGCATCGCCTACAGCCAGGGCTGGAGGGGTAGGGGTGGTCTTACTCAACAGCGAGGTGTCCTGCACGGACGTGGTCAAGGACGCGCCGGAACGCCTCGTGAGGGTGACCATGTCGTGGCAAGGCGTGGTGGTGACACTTGTGGCAGCCTATTTCCCGTCAAGTCCAACTGCGAAAGGCTAGTTCTTCAGGGATGTGCTCCGACCGTAGCGGCGATACCTACTCGGTGTCAACTGATGCTGGCGGAGGATTTAAACATAGTTGAGGACCCGTTGCTGGATCGGGATCGTGGGGGGAGAACGATAGGTCAATGTCAGTATGTAGTAGCTTTGACGTCCGCGACGCTTTCCGGGCGCTTCATCCATGCCTGCGGGAGTACACATTTTACACAGCGGCAGTGCAGGCGAGCACGAGGATTGATCGTATCCTCCTCTCGCAGTTGTTACTTCATCAGGTCCACGAGGTGCAGCATGCGGGGCTGGTTAAGAGGTTCACGAACCATTGGTTTGCTGTTTTCCTGAAGCTCAGTGCGGGGGGAGAAGGGGAGTCAGGCCCGGGTCTCTCGAGGCTGCCGGCGTTGCAAGTGCCGCGTCATGGGGTGCAGAAACGGGTGGAGCAGATTGTGCGGAGGAACACGGAGAGGGGGGGAGATCTGGAGGCACTGACGCCCACTCTAAGAGTGGTGCTTAAAGCCTATACGGTGGAGGAACGGTAGCGGGTCGCCGCAACAACGGCGCACCTGGAACGAGAGGTAGGGTAGCTAAGGCAGAAGGTGATGAGTAAGCCCTGGCGTTCACGAGCGAAGGCGCGGCTGGTGAAGTGCGAGGCCAAACTCAAGGCGTACGCGGATGGGAGGCGCCAGAAACTGTAGGATTAAGCGGGGATCAAGGTCGAGATGAATGGGGAGGGCCCCACTGGAAACTTGTTGGCAAAGATAAAGGCGCGGAAAGCAAGAAAAAGGCTGGCATCTGAATTTTATACTGACCTATTTGCAGCCAATGCGGAGTTGGCGAACGCGCAGTTGGACTGGGTGATGGACAAACAATTTTCCACGGAAGACGCAGCGGCACTCTACGTACCCTGGGAGGAGGCGGAGGTCAAACGAGCACTCGCAGAGATGGCACCGGGCAAGACACCCGGGCGGGACGGCCTCCTGAAAGAACTCTGGAAGTCGCAGTTGGACCTGTTGGGAGGGCAGATGATGCGGTTATTTAATGAGTTTGAGCGGACGGGGTCGCTGAAAGCGGGGTTTTCAACTGCAGTGACGGTGCTCCAGCATATGAAGGGCGCCAAGGACGACCTGCAGAACTACCACCCGATCACGCTGCTCAGCACGGTGTACAAGGTCATCTCAATAGTTTTGGCGAACAGAATCAAGCACAGACTGGAGAAGGTGGTGTCGGCGGGGCAATTCGGCTTCTTACCTGGCAGGAGTCTTGCTGGTGCGGTGGCGATTGCGGCGGATGTGATCGACGCTGCGAGTTCTGGTCGGGAGTACTTGCTCATGGTTCTGGTTGATTTCCGAAAGGCGTTCGATTCCGTGGCGAGAGGTTACCTGTTTGATGTTCTGCGGAAAATGGGCTTCCCGGAAGCCTATGTGAGGTGGGTAGAAGGACTTCACCAAGGGGTGGCGACACGTATCTGCAATGACGGCTGGCTCAGGGAGGAGGTGCCGGTACAAACGGGTGTGAGGCAAGGTTGCAGAATGTAGACGGAACTGAAGAAGTGGGAGGCAAAGCATCTCACCACAACGGCGCGGTTGACGGTGGTCAACTCATACGTCATGCCCATAGCGCTGTTCTAGGCACAAGTATGCCCCCCCCCCCCCCCCCCCCCCCCCCCCCTCCCGGACGCCGTACGGGAAGAGCTGAGGAGGCTGTGTCACGTGTTCATCTCGGGTGGAAAGGCGAGTGCAGAGCCCGGCTTCATCCTCTGAAGTGGGGAACTTATGCAAACAAAGAGGGCCGAGGGAGGACTAGGGGTTATCAATCTCAAAGATAGACTGGACGCGGACTGCTCATAGAAGAAGTGCCGCAGCGGGGACTACTGGCGGAGCAGGCGGCGTGCTTCCCTCTCGGGTACGCCTCCCTCTTCGTGCACGAGGCTCTGCTGAAGAAAGGGGGTGACGGGAGTGAGCGTTGGAAGGCG